TTTGTTTTCCTATGTAAGCAACTTCGTGTCGGATTCACTCTCTTTAGAGGCAAGTCTCTTCCCATCGGATCATTAATCTATTAAGTTTTTCCAGCACAGAAAAACATACCAAAACAAAAAAAAAAAAGATTCATGTGCAATCCAGAAACAAAGAGAGGGTATACTCAAATCTGACTTTTAATTCACATAAAACCTCCATTCCAGTTTTTTCCTGGCTGACTAAAATGTAACAAAAATATTACAACCTTGTGATGATTCCCAACATCGACTGAAAATGTTTTTTTTTCCCTATTATTAAAATATTGAATATATTCTACCTCGAGGAATTTGCAGAGATCTTATTAGCAGATCTCTTGATAGACTCGATTCTTTGTAACCTAATCTGTTCTCTGAACTTTGCAATGAACTCATCTGCCTTCTTGTCCACGTCACTTCCATTGTTGCTCTCACTAACTCCTTCCTCCTCTACTATCTTCTTCTCAACCTCGTCGTGAATTTCATTTTCTCTCCTTCTAAGTTCTTCATTTTCCGATTCCTCAGTTGCCTTGCTTCCCAAGAAACTTCTTTGATCATTCTGTTCCGTGTCTTGTTCCTTTGATTCCACGATTGGATTAGACCACCACACTTTCTTAGGAGAGTTTCTTTTCATCTTTTGTTCCGAAGACTTTCTCCGTTCGTTGCCTAGTCTGAATTTCGTCGGAGCTGACTTATAATATTCCACGGGAGGTGGTGGTGGTGGAGGCGGCGGAGGATGAAACTCACCTCCTGCAAATTTCGCCTTGTGAACTGATGATTCTCTCCTCTCAACCCTGTAAATTCCGGGATGATCTTTTCTCGACGATGAGTTATAAAACGCCGGTAGAGGTGGCGGCGGCGGAGGAGGAGGTGGCGGAGATGGATGAAACTGAGATGCGAGATTAGGTAAAAGATTCGACTTTCTTGGAGAAGGGAAAGCAGAAGAGGGAGTCAGATTCTTGATCCACGGCTGTGATTCAACTGTAGCCATATTCTTAACCAACGGCTGAGAGTCAGTCTCCATTGATGATGATGATGATCTTGACCTCCATGGAATCGGAGAAGGAAGTACATCACTATTATCATCACCAAGAGTCTTCAGAAGTTCTCTCTTAGATCTCACTTTCTCCCATCGACCGGAATTATCGCTGGAGGAATCAGGAACACGAGAGTAATTCAAGCTCCGAACCGGCAAAAGCAGAGGCTTCTCTCTGATCTCTGAACTAACTCTCTCAACGAAACGAGTTTCAACCTCAGGAATTTTCATGTGATACTTGTTCTTCCATGTCTGAAACTTACGTTGATCGCCGGAGGAGTCATCGGACGGTTCAGATTCGCTCTCGTTACCCACGTTAAAAACAGAGGATACTTCAAGAATCTTAGGCACATAGGGATGCAAATTGTTATTACTATGATCAGCTTTGTTGTTATCACTATTGCTTGTTCCTTCACCTCCTCCTCCGTCGTAGTTCCGGCGGCTGAAAAGGCCGTAAGAGACGGCGATGCCGACGAAAACTAGGTGGAGAAGCTCGATGAGTCTTGTTTGGTTAGCAAGCTCCGGCGTCTGAGAAAGGAAGACAGGTACGACGGCGCAAAGCAGGGTGAGGATAAGAGCTTTAAAGAGGAATCGAGAGTAGAATTTTCTAGGGTTTTGATCTTCTTTATTACCCAATTGGGTTGGTTTCTTTGAGCTTCTTGCTTCCACCATTGGAGAGGAAAAGTGAGTGTGTGTAGAGAACTTGTAAAGGTTCTTTATTTTGGTAATGAAAGAAGAGAGAGAGATAAGTTAGTGGAAATGCTAAGACTTAGAGGTTAAGTTCTGTTTTTTTTTTTTTTTTTTGTAAGAAAAAAATGAGATTGAAGAGAACAAAATCTGAAATCCAAGTTGATGTGTGAATCACTCCTAACTTTATTTTTTGGTTTCTAATACTATTCTAACGTTATTTTGATTATTTGACAGCGACTAGAGAATCGCTACTTAAAACTGTCTAGAAGATCCAAATGTATACATAGAAAGGTTTGTAGTTTTGTGATATTTGTTAGTGCCGTTAGGTTATTATTTTGTCCAAATTCAATTTAATTTGGTTGTAGTGCATGAATTACACAAAATGCAAAATATAAAAGAAAATATAACTATGTTTAAAAATTATAAAATGTCACAACATGGGTTTAAATTCAGGATTGTGTGAGTTGTAGAGGACATATATAAAAGAAGGTATTTTATATAGAACTGTTTTATGACGTCTAGAATTGTTTAATAACAAAATTTTATATTTTAAGTTTTTGACATTTAAAAGATCTAAACTATTGATAGTTACGAGCTCTCTGCTTTTGATTTCTCAGCTCGTAGTCTTAATTACTTCTAATCTTCGACTTTATATAATACTAGTTTAACAATTGACGCTCTCTGTGGGTAATCAAAATTTTTGTCATTTTTAAGTTTTGAGCTTTTTGAATTAGAAAAGTTTTTCGATTCTCCACAGACAACACCAAATTCTTAAAACTCTGTATTTCAACTACAACCAACGACAGCTGATAATCTTGGTCAGCTAGTGCAATAAAGGGAGCAAATTATAAAAGTTGTTAAATGTAAGAAAATGTAGAATAAATAGAGCAATTAATTGATAATACGATTAGGTCGCTTAGGCATATGACCCCGGAGGAATCTGGATTCCCTTCTTTTGGTCTATTTACGCTAAGCTTTTTTATTTTAACGCAGCAGTAGCTGTCTCATGTCTGAAAACTAAACACTACAATTACAGACCAAAGACATAAATCATATAATTAATTACAACAACTATCTAACATTAAAAATAATAACGATTCTTTTTCTTTCACTAAGCTTAAACTTGTCGATAAGGTATCTATACTTTCTGAATATAATAAACTTTGAAAATCGAGAAAAAGGAATAGAACAAAATAAATATATATTTTTTTTTTGTGTTATGTTATTGAATTGGTAGGGTTTAAAGTTTAGAATCTAGAATCACTGTGTAGACTCAACACTAGACGTTCTAAAACTGTTTTATGAATCCGAGGTTACTCCATACATAAATTTTCTTTAGATAAATGGAAACATAGGTTTTATTAATGTGGTTTTAATTTTTTTTTATGATTAGTTAAGAATTATTAGAAGAACTGAAGATCTACCAAAATCAACACTATGATTGCCAAAAAATATGAAATTATAAAAATCAAAAAAGATTTAGAAGATCATTATATTTACCAATATCTAAGATATAATTTATATTTATATTTAAAAATTATATTAATCTCATCTTTACATTAAACAATTATCACAATATAAAAGTATGTATCTTGTAGGGAAAATGATCATTTTATTTCCATTATAGTCCTAAAATCAATAGCATTTCGTCGCAGCCTCGCAAGATAACACGTACAAAGACAGATCAATTTAGAGTTTGAAAGTTTCAAATTGCGCGATTTACCCAAACTGTTTTTATTGATCTAAAAACCCCCCTAAATTAAAAATTCGAAATGAGCGTAGCGTTCTCAGCCTTAAGTTTACAAAAAGTAGAAATCTACCCAAAACAGTTTCAATTTAACAAGAAAAAACATGTCACTCCTTACTCGACAGCTCAAAGCTGACCATACTATTTGCAATTAACACATTATTCTCCAACTCAAAGCTTGTCACTCCTTACTCGACAACTCAAAATAACATAATAATTTATTTCATTGTGTTATGTTGTTGAATTGGTAGGGTTTAAAGTTTAGAATCTAAAATCACTGTGTAGACTCAACACTAGACGTTCTAAAACTGTTTTATGAATCCGAGGTTATTCCATACATAAATTTTCTTTAGATAAATAGAAACATAGGTTTTAGATTTTTTTTAATGATTAGTTAAGATTTATTAGAAAAATTGAAGATCTACCAAAATCAACACTTGAGATGATTGCCAAAAAATATGAAAATTATTAAAATCAAAAAAGATTTAGAAGATCATAAATATCTAAGATATTATTTATATTTAGAAAATTTATATTAACCTCATCTTTACATAAAAAAATCATCTCTATATAAAAAGTAGGGAAATTGTTAAAAATGCCCCTTTTGGTGTGCCCCTTTTCAAAAATGCCCCTTTTAGATGTCCATTTTCAAAAATGCCCTTTTTTAAATCTGAAATTTTTATAAAGTTTTATTAGGTTTATAAGGTACTTATGGATTGTAACTACTACTTGAAGACCCGATCCAAGTATTTATAAGGTTTTATAAGGTCTTTTTAAAGGTTTTACAAGTTATTTTAAAGGATTTTTAAGGTTTTTCAAAGGTTTTACAAGATATTTTAAAGGTTTTTAAAGGTATTTAAAATGTATTTATAAGGTATTTATAAAGTATTTATAAGATTTTAGATACATAGAAATGTAGTTTGTGTATGTTTTAATAATGTTACATACATATTTGGGTAAATCTTATATTTTTAAGAGCATTTTTTATAAGGTTTTAAAAAAGGGGTATTTTTGAAAAGTAGCATTGAAAAAGGGGCATTTTTGCAAAAGCCCCTAAAAAGTATGTATCTTGCATAATTATTGAGTTTAGTAGTATAATTTTCTCTAGCACTTTATGTTCTTTAATCTCATCCATTAATAAGGATCACTGAAATAAATTTGACAGGTCAAACTGGAAAAATTGTTTAATCATCAACACATCATTTTGGCACCACTTTGATGGGGCGGTGGATCACTGGTCGGCTACTTTTATCGACTCTTTTTAAGATTTCTTTTGACAATCTATCTTTTTTTTTTTTTTTTGACATCTTTGGATCGACAAAGCCCGACCCATAGCTAATCCTTACTACGCGGGGAAACGCGACTTAGTGGAGTCGAACTCCGGTGGGGAAGGCGGAGTCAGATGGATTTAACCACTTGACTAAAGGTACATCACCGACAATCTATCTTTTTTTATAAAACAAATTTCAGAAGAACATTTGAATTCAACTATTAGCTTAAAACATACGCATAAAGTATAACCACTGGTTTACCAACTTTAATTTTACTACAAATGCGATTCTAACTTGTGCTCTTTCCTTATTTCCTTTTTGGTTTTTCTTTCCTTTTTGATTACAGCCACATAAATTGCACAAACAAAAACAGTGATAATGTATTTAGACCCTAAACCATCCCAGTTATCAATGGTTATTGAAACTAAATTTGTTGGACTCTAATGATTCTTTCCTTAAGGTGTTCACTTGCCAGTGTAAAGAGGTTTACGCTTCTCAGCAAAAGCAGCTAATCCTTCCAGACGATCTTGAGTATTAAGAAGCTTCTGATAACACATCTCTTCTACTTCCAAACCCGAAGCCATATTCGTCTCAATTCCTTCATCAATCGCCTTTTTCGCCATCTTTATAGCCAAGGGACCTTTTTCATTTATCTGCTGAGCCATTTCAATTGCTTTCTCATGAGCCTCACCTGCCGTAACACAAATGTTCACAAGCCCTGCACCACACAAATAAAAAAGAGAGTATATGAATCAATCCTTATTTGGGTACATTGTCAAAACAAAACCACAAGAAATGAAACTTGAATAGTCACAGACCTTTAGTTGCAGCTTCTATTGCATCAATCTTTCGACCTGTGAATATAAGTTCCTTTGATACCGATCTCCCAACCAGCCTCGAGAGCCTCTGTGTCCCACCAGCTCTATGTAGAAGCAAAGAGAAATAAATTAACAGAAGAATGATGAAAAGGGTAATAAGAGAAATCATTTGTCGAGAGTGATGAAGCTTATTATATACCCAGGGATTATAGCGAGTCCTGTTTCAGGCAAGCCAAATACTGCATTTTCGCCTGAGAGTTCCCGAGTATTAACCATAACTGCTTATCTTGGCCAGTAGATTATATAATAAGAAAATGAGCAGATATATAAATACCACAGATTCGAAGATCACAAGCAAGAGCCATTTCAAGTCCACCTCCCAGTGCTGCACCTTCTATTGCAGCAATAGTTGGGATACTCAGTGCCTAGAAACACAAGTCTTCAAAGTCACTATAGCATGCAAATCTCACTGAGTTCCAAAATCTAGAGCTCTAACATAGCAATAAAGGAACACAAAAAAAGAAAGAAAAGGAAACAAGTACTTAAATCAATTTCATATCAGTAGAACCACTAGACATTCCTATTCACTTGAAGTTTGAAGACTATTAAATAACGTATCTTGATAAAGCTAGAGCTACATTCTAACAATTTGATGATAGATTGTATACATTAATGTTAAAACATACTCTAGGTTGACAGTTAACTTTACCCAACAATCATTCCATGAATGATTGTATCAGCTAATCTATGAGAACAAACAATGATATATGAGAATATACCTCCATGAACGAGAACATGTAGCGCAACGAGTTGACATATGTGTGAACCTCAGATGGACTCATAGTTCTACGCTCCTGACATCCAAGTAAATTTAAAAAAAACAGAAACTTTTTAAGTACGGCTAACAAATAGAGTGAACATTCCGGGAGATATGAAAGTGACAAAACTACCTTAAGATCTGCACCTGCACAGAAAACTCCTGGAACCAGACTTCTAATCATGACAACCCTAGCTGAACTATCTTGTTGTATGGACTCAAATGCGTTTTGGAGACTTTTCAGCATCTCCTTATTAATAGCATTTTTGGCAACAGGCCTATCTAGATTGACCTCGATTATACCTGTCAATCATCAACACAAAAGCAGTATTATTGTAACTTTCATTTAGCATCGGTTTGTCCAAACATTAGAGATCATAAATTGATCAGATGATACTATCTTGAGTTTGAGTCAATAGTAAACAAGCAAGTATATTAAAAAAAACACGGTGATAACAATTTATTCAAACAAAAAACGATCACTCTTAAGAACCAAACCAATTCGACAATGAACAAGAGATGAGATAATGGAAAAGTGAAATTACCGGAATCGGAACCAGATAGGCGATTGAGCTTGACAAATTCAGGCGGAGCGGTTTCAATTATAAGACTCCGGCAGTTCTGAAGCATGTAATTACGGCTAAGATATGATTTTCCGGTTAATTGGAGTAAACTGTCACGGCGGAGATACTTGATGAAGCTCATCTTCTCCGACTCCGACCCGTGAACCCTCGAACACTTTTCTCACGGACCCAAGTTCCGATTTTTAAAAACCTTTCCTTTTCTCGACCAAAATGAAGAAAAAAGATAAAACCTTTGTGAAAAAATTTGCTCTGTCTGAAAAAAAAAAAACTCTTCTCCAGAAACCAAGAATGACTCTGACCGGTACCAAATCAATGCCAGTGTGATGTAACGAATCATTCTCGATTTCGGTTTAGGTTTCAAATAGTCAAAAATTGAAAGAATAAAACGATATTATATCCGGTCTGATCCGGTTCGGGTTATTTTTGGTTAGGGTCAGCTTATTAACATGGAGGAATACAAAAGAGAGGGGAAAGAATGCAATTACATTGTTTGGTGAAGACTACTCAACTCAAAGACTCAGACTTTATGTATCCATGCGTCAAGTCGAAGCTGCTTCAATGGTGGAACTATATTCCTTTTGTTCTTCTGCGGGCAACGCCATTTTCCTGCCATCTCCTCGGCTCCAGAGGACTGGTGATTCGACATTTCCTCCAAAATTTTTCTCTTCTTGTTTCTTTCTTCTTTGTCTTCCTCCCCAGCGATATTCTTTAACTCTTTACTACTCGAACACTTCATGAGAACTACTCTATTTGGTTTCTTCAGGGAACATTGGTCTCTTGCTTCTCTGAATCTAGCCTTTTTCATGGTCACAAATCCAGTTTCACTGCTTTGTCCGTTAACATTTTCCTTGTCATCTGATTCTTGGTCTATTGGAGACATTTGTCTGTTGGTGTTCATGGAGATGGATTCTTGGATATGTATTGGTCTCAACTCATGTAAAGAAGCGTCGTTCTTTGAAGGTGATTTGGGTTTTGGGTTGTATCTGGAAACTCTGGGGCTAAACCTTGCTTCTTCTTGTGGTTCACATAATAATGCTTCCTGCTTGAAGCTTGATTCTTGTTTCGCTTCTTTCTTTGAGGCATTGAACAATCCAACTGATGACCTCTTTTCCATTTCTTGGTTTGAATATGCATTGTCTAAAGAGACCTCCTTGGCCTAACATGTAGAATCGAGAAAGAGTCAGTGAGCACTAACAGAATCTAAAGTCAACACAAATCGTGCAATTGAAAATAACTGACAACTAGGTTTCATCTCATTTCAAAAGTGATCCACACAAGTTTCTTTCTTTAGACTACGGATGTTGTGGCAAGCTTGTAGACTTTAAAGTGCAGTAATGACAAGAACATAACTTACTGTGTCTGCGGCTATGTTTTCCTTGTAGTCATTTGAATCTAACCTGCCAAGACCAATAGTACTCTCTTGCTTGCTCTTAAGTTTTCGAAATATACCGGAACTAATTCCGTCCTCTGTGTCACTCTCCTCAATGACTAACTCATCTTTCTCAAAAGAAGAAAATCCAAGTTCTTGAATTTCTGAAAGCTGAGGAGATTGATACTCATAGCTTGAAAACCAGTTTCTAAGATTAGGAGGCTCTGATAGAACAAGAAGTAAATCATGTAAGATTTAGCTCTTCTAACAATAAATCTGAGTCACTTTACTAACACATTATAAGAAAGCAAACATCACTAACATATACAAAAAACAAGTGCCTTTACTCACCCGAAAGAACAGACTCCGACTGCGAGAAATCTGTAACCTACAAGGAGACTAATTCATCAGCCGGCATAAGAGTTAAGAAAATTTACTGATGTAGGAAGTAAAAGCCAGTACTTCAATAGCAATACCTTTGTAGAAGAGACAAGTTCTTGCTCAAATAACCTCGGACAAACATGGTTTCTTTCAATTTTTGGCGTCTCATTTTCTATTTGTGTCTCCTTTACACATTCACTTTCTCCAGGAACGTACAATTCAAGAACATCACTTGTATCCAGCACCGGTGATTCATAGACATAGCTCGAAAACCAATTAGCTAAATCAGGAGGTTCTGAGAAATAAATGAACCAAACCAGATTAAAGCTAACAAACAAATTCAATCAATAGCACATAAAATTCACAATAATCAACCAAAAGAGAGTTTACCAGAAGGAAGTGATTCATCAATAACACCACCAAGATTTACTTTGTTCACCACATCTACTTCGTTTTCGCTTTCATTGATTGAAGAAGACAATGGTAACGATTCATAGACATAACTGGGAAACCAATTCGTAATATCTGGTGGTTCTGTAATAAATACCCAAAATTAAAAATGTCAGAAATTGCAATAAAAGGAGACGTAAGAGAGATATTAAACCTAGTTATTAATCACTCACCGGAAATGGGAGATGTTGAATCGGAGTATCCATTTTCCTGCTAGAGAATATTTACGGGAGATTTCAACGAATTAAGAGAGAAAATCCAAACTCAAATCCATAAATTTCAGCAACATATTCACAAAAATGCGAAAAATTATACAGAATTAAAAATCTCACCACTGAGATGAATTCCGCCATTAGAGCTCTCTACTTCGTCTCTCTCTTTTTCTCAATTTTTTTTTGATTCTGCAATTTGAGAGGTTTGTTTTTTGCTTTTCGCATTTCTATGGTTTCGCGGGTTAATTTTCACCTAAAATTATAGGGGAGCGGAAAGATAAATTTGATGTTGGACCTTATAATATTAATGGGCCTATAATTTAAAACCCAAACTAATTAAGGCTTTTTGTGCTATATGCTATTCAATTAAGGGTCCAAATAGTGTATTGAGAGAAATTGAATGGATAAGGATAAATTTAATTAGGAAAAATAAATTAGATTTATTTCTTCTTTTTATTAGAGGTGGGTTTTTTTTTCCTATTTGATTTCTTCCTTTTATTAGGGGATTTTTCCCCCATTTTATTTCTTCTTTCTTCTTTAATTTTAATTTCTTTTTTTTGTATTATAGGATTTTTCACATTTTATTTCTTCTTTTTATTAGCGGATTTAGATATCTAATCATTGAAAATGTGAAAAGTGGAGAAGCTAAGTAGCTTCATATTTACAAGGAGGGCAAAAATTCATAATTAAAAGATTATTCAAATTAAAATGATAAGTAACTGTTACATGGCTATGACTTTTTGGGTCATGCTACATTTTGAAACAGTATTTTAGAAAGAAAAGTGATTAAGCATACACTTAATCTAGATGTGAAAAAAACAACAGGAACTGAAAAAGAAAAAGGGAAAAGAGAATGTAGAACTAGCCCACTAGAGATTACTAATTGAGGTTTAATTTCCACTACCGCTTCCGCTTCCGCTTTCACGACCACGACCACGACCACCTCGGCCTTGGCGACCACGACCTCTACGACCACCGCTTCTGCGACCACCAAAACTAGTCCATTGCCACTCTATCATCTTTTGAGTTGGTATGATCGGCCTTTTCCCAAAGCTTCTCTCATTAATAAATGTGATTGCGTTCTCATCTTGCGAAGATTCCGTGACAGTAGCTGACTCCATTTGCTCGCATAATGTCAACCGGTTATTACCTTGTTCTTCTCCCACATCCATTCCATCTTTTTCCCCATTTCTACACATGCCAGTCTCAGTAGTTTCTTTGTTCCCCCTAGCAAAAAAAAAATATATCTAATTAATAAATACCTTTTTTGCTCCTAACAGTAAAAAAGATAATAAAAATTGCAATCGAAAATCGTCCTATTACTCTTTGTTTTTGTCACCGTCCACAACATCCATATCATCACTCCTCGTGTTGTTGTTGTTGTTGTTTATGTCATCGTTGGTGTTTGTGATATTACGGTAGATGATGGTATTGCATTTGTTCATGGTGACTGCGTCAAGAAGTCCATAATCCCATTGTTTGATCATGAATTGTCTCCAGCACCTGGAATTTTTTTTTTAGTTTTTTTTTTCCAAGAAACAAAACAAAATTATATGTGTATATATAAGTTGGTGTATTTATAGAGTTTTGAAGAGATAATTACAAGTCGAGTGATAAGTTACTGCGCAACTCTTGCAGGTGTAATCTTGAGAATGCTTCACATGCCCAAGGAATATGATAATCTGCAACAATCCTGCAAAATAAAATCACAATTTGATTTATGCCAAAGTTTTATAAGCCTAACCATTACGACAAACGTATGGAAGGTAAGACATATATAAGGGTCTTTTCGTTTCTATGTTAAGGTAAGAAATATAGTTAGTTACCTTTGCTTTTTAACAAAGGAGTTCCAAAGGTGTATGAATCTCTCTGCTACGATTTCATTCTCATCCATGGAATCATTAGGCATCTACAGTTTTTTTTAAGTTCTTAATTAGAGTCATTAGCAAGAATAATCGTATACTGTTGTTAATTTAATAAAAGCATAAAGAAATCATGGAATATACCTGGCTTTCTGCGAGATGTTCAGCAACATCGTCGACATCATTTTCGTTATCTCGGTCAGACATAACTTCCTCAAGTGACAGTGGCTTTGTAACAAAAACATGCAGTTTTTGGTTAGTGACAATAAAAGATTCACGTGGATACAAACTGAAGCATAAATACGAATTTAAATGAGAAGAATCAAACCAGAGAGTATCGTGAGATTGGAACCAAGTATATATATGTTGATAAGATATATATAATAACGTGCAATTCTAAGACTATGCAAAAGAAGGAACTTGAATCACCTGGCCGGTTCGCGTATTATAGAACTGGCGTTTAGGAAGAGTTAAGTAGTGGCTGCAAACAAATTTACCCGGTTAATAAAGGCAGTCCAATAAAACACAGAAATGGTAAATTAAAATAACAGCCTGTCATGATGAAAAAACACAGGGCTGTGGACCTAAGGAGAGCTTCGGAAATGTGGAATGTGGACCCTTAATTAATTTAGCTTTTGATTGTTTAAAGAAAGAAATATACAAAAACTTATGTTAAATAGAAATATGTGAAAATTTGATAGAATATAGTATATAATAGTGTTATCAAGAGCTATACATAGAACTTTTGGTTTGAATACAAACTATACAATGTACTATATATAGCAAAAATAAAATAATATATAGACATTTTCATTTAAGATTGTATTAGTATCTATAAAAGATTTGTTTATTTAAATAGATTGAATCTAACAGTAAAGTGAAAAAATCTAGAAAATGTAAAATCAAATGAATTAAGTATACTGTGTAAAAACTAAAATTAAAATGAGATTTTTAAAAGAAGAACATTCACTAAGAAACAAATTTAAAAACAAAATTTAGAAAATCATTCTTGGACTTGATATTTATTTATCTTGGTCGAAAAATCATTACTCAAAAGAAACCAATAATATACAAAATTTTGACCAAAAGAAACATATGAAATTGGGACCCTAAAATTCAGTTTCAGAAGTGGGGATTTTTCAAATCCTATAACCACATTTATCAACAAACCTTCTAGCCTTTGATCGCTTAGCAGGGACCATAGCTTCTGTTGTGGACTTGCCTGGATCCATTATAACAACAAGGACGTTGAATCTACAAGATAAATTATAACTATATTATTCCATCTTCGATTTAGAAATCAAGATCTAAGAGGATAATTAAAATTGGATATACTATTATATATGATGAAATGTAAATAGCGAACGAAAAAATGAAAGGAACTCATGCTACGGTTGTGGAAGCTATATTCGCCAACATGGAATTATGGATCGCTGTGGAAACTAAGTTGAGGGAAAGAGTAGATGCACCGGAGAAGAGAGATAATCACCGGAAAACGAGGAGGAGGAGGAGTTGAAACTCTTGTTTGTTTTTGTTACTCACCAACTTTTGTTATCTACAGCAAAACATATCTCACCTTATATATACAAATTATTTGAAGTTTTGGGAGGGAAAATTAAAGATAGAAATACATACAAATAAGTTATATAAGGTATGGAATTATTTAAAAGTGAAAAAAAATTCTGTATAAGTAAATAATTTTCAATTTATATTGACTAATACTTATTTGTTGGTAAAAATAAGTTAGATTCGTCGAACGATGAGTCGTATGTGTTGGATATGAATGGAATTTAGGTTTATATTGACTAATATTTATTTGTTGGTCATGATAAATTAGATTCGTCGAACGGATGAGTCGTATGTGTTGGATCTGAATTGATCAAGTTAAAGAGAGCGTTCGACTATTAAGAAGCGAACAGAACTTTATAATCTGTTAACTCTAATATCATGTCTTTAAATAGTATGTTATTAGAAAGAAAAAAACATACGGAAATCACTCACTTGTTAGGGAAGCATCCTTATTGATGGGGAGGCAAAGTGAGGTCCTAAGACAACAAAAAATAATCATGAAAGTTTTTAGAAAGATAAATGAGAGTTGTTTTTTGAAGATTTTTTTGGTTTGCGTAAACTTAAAATAGAGTTTAAGATGTTAGGAGATTGCATATTTTTGAAAAGCACATATGAACATAGGTCATGCCACACATTATGGACATGCCACAAATTATGGACATGGATGAACGAAACAAGGAGAGTGAATCTCAAATGTAAGGTTTGAATCTAGTTAGACATTGTAGGTGCATGTGTGTGGGAGATAGACACAAATGTAATATAAGAAAATTATCTTGCTGATCTCTTTTCTAGATGTATTAAAGGGATATTTATAGTAAATACTTGATCGAATTGTACGTTGGATAGTCGGATAGAGTTGTCCTACTCCTAGGTATTGGATCGTGGGCAAGTGACTACATACAAGTATTTTTGGCGAATGGGACATGACTTGTAGCTCTGGCATTTCTAGTTAGCTTATGTAACATGTCACATCTATCGAGATCTCGATTAGCATTTGGTGACCGTCGAGTACATATTTTTGTACAACGTAACTGTGTTTGATTATTGGTCAGTTCAACGTAAAGAATCATACAAGTTATTAAAAACCTAGTTTTAGTTGTTTCAATGATAAATTAGAAATAAATAAATTATGCTTAACAATTAAACTATGTTTGTAAATACTTTTCCTATTTTAATGTGTACGTATATTTTATGATTTTGAATGGAGAAGATGCGAGACGGGTATGTAGGGTGCAAGGCGGTCCGAATAGTGATAATATATACTCACTCTCAGTGTTCCTTACAAGTTATTTTTTTAGAAATTTTCACACATACTAAAAATAATCAATGTTCATACTATTTGACCATCTAAAATATCAATCTATAAGGAATGGGGGAGTATATTTTGTTATTATTTGAACTATCTTGCATGTTTTCCGCTATGTTGTGCATCATCTTTATTCTATAGGGGAGTCTATTTACTATTCAGTTGTCCTCAATATTAGAAGTCACTCTAACATTTCTTATATTTAAAACATTACTAAATAAATTTTTTTACAAAAATAGACAAGGATTTATTTTTTGCGATGGGATCAAGTCTATAGGTTTAAAATCCATGATTGTAAACCTAAACATTTTCATTTTTTATGAATATTTACATTCTTAGCAAAAAAGAAAAAATAGACAAGGACATTTAAAGGGTTTTTTTTTTGCTGACTCAATATTTATTGTAAATTAGACAAAATGGGATTTAGATATATTAATCTATTTTTATGAATACTGAAAAATAGGAATTAAATTATTTTAAAAAGTATTTATTATCCTTTGATTTTTTTTTATATAGAAATATTTATTGACCAACCGAAAGACTGATGATGTATATAAATTACACTAATATATATCATAAATCTTTCATTTAGCCAACAAATATTTATATATAGAAGAAAATCAGAAGATAATAAAAAAGAAGAAGGAAATGTACTAGAAAATTACGTAGGGGGTGTTATTCAATCATGGAGTTAAAATCAATTCTTTAAAGATTAGATTTGCTTTCTGATATTGTTTTTAAGAATCTGTTTGTGTGGATTTCAAAATCTCTGCAGTATATCTTGGATTTTGATTCTAACAATTTACTCATGAAATTCCAAAGAAGTTTCATTTCAAATGATTTAATATACAAAGATTGTACGAATCTTTTAGTTTTGAATAACACTGGATTTTAATGAAGTATTTTAAATCTTAGTTGAATAACACCAAACTTTAAAAATCTAATGAAATATAAGATCCAATAACAACAGATTTTAAAGTTAGATTTAGAATCATTAGTTGAATAACACTGGATTAGTTTTGGATTTCAATTCTTTAAAATCCATCATTGAATAACACCACCGTAGTTTCTTTAATTTGTGTAAAATAAGTCAAAATGATAGTTTTGTGAAACAAATGGAGTATAATTTGTCTTGATGCAGAAAAAGAAAGTTCGTATAAGAAAATCAAACTGTTAATAAATGACCTCTAGAAATGGGTTTCAGTAAACAGGCTTTATTATTATAGATCATTTATGGGCTAATAAGTTAATTAGGCCCATTAAATGGCTGCGATTCCGTATATTCAGAAGTCAGAACAGTAGAAGTTTAGTCAAAATGCTGAATCGACGGGTCTGACTTTTCCACGTGTCATTAAGACAGCTGAACTGGAACGGCAACAGTAACGGTTCAACACGCTTCGTTGAGACTTGAGAGTTTAGTTCTTCAAATGGCTAACAAAAAGAAACAAACAGAATTATAATTTTGACATTAGCAAATTCAAATTTATGCTAAAATTGATACGTGTATTAGTATATTTAACACATCGTTGTTACTTGAGAACTTGTTATATACTATACAAAGACGAGTAAAACCTGTGTATGTATAAAAAGTCTAACATGTGATTTGAAATATTCAAATATGACTCCAGATTTCTTGCTTTGGTGGAAATGCTTACGTTTTTTTTATTAAATGAATGAGTTACCATGCATAAATATGAGATTACTGTCGTGTATATTTGGATGCAACATAAATAGTTGTTGACCTGTTATTTTATTAGTATGTTTGTTTAGAGTTTAGACTAATACTACTGATGCCACGCTGTTGTAGTTGTGACATAGGTGAAGACTTGTTCATTTTTTTCCGTACGAGATATTTCTTTTTGATAAACTTGTTAGATAAAGTTTTGATCCATTATATTATACCTTAGTTTTTCTAAAATATATAATCGATGAAACTCGTATTTGAATTTGACTTGACATTTTGTATTTGTAAATAAACAGTTGAATTACTATTGCTAATGATAGGTTACCAATACGTTTAAAAACTTTTACGCTCGTGTGTAGGATTTAGACTTTAGAAATACACAAATTAAGTACCGGAAATTAAATCATAATTCTACGACGTAAATTTCTTGCATGTTGAACGGTTGTGAAGTTTGGACGAAAGATGTCATTTATACGATTTTTCAATGTAATGTAAGAAAAATCCATGAAAGTTGTTGTTTCTTTCAAAAGTTTGAATTGTTAGACAAAAGTACAATTTGTAAACAAAATTTATCTGTGAATTGGTTAGACAAAAGCATATGTTTACAGTTGTTTTTATCTATTAGGTTTTATATGGTTGAATATTTACAAAGTTAAAAACAAATTATATACGAATATGGAAACTCTACTTCAAATAATCTACTTCTTAACAATAATGTACTGTAAATTTATAGATCTAATTAATTAAACACTAAATGGAGGGAGATTAATACCGCATAAAAACAAACTTAAACACTCTAACTACTATACATTCTATATCTACCAAAAGAAAACTATTTGTTTGACGTGAAAGTGGTGCATATATATATTATTAATAAACCATTTAAATGTGTTTTCCAAATAGGTATACAAATTTAGATTATATTTCAAACTAAACAAGTGTAATAAATATATGTTCAATATGAATTTTGCACACGATTTTAATTTGGAGCCCGTGACTAGGCTCAGCTGCACAAGTATTCACATGTACATGTTTTAGAGGATAATTAAAGATCAATGACTACTTACGGGAAACGAACAAACAAATACAGGAAAATGTTGTAAATAAAATATAATAGTATGATACTACTATTTGAATATGTTTGACACAGTTGTGTGAAATGCAGTTATTGAAGTCATACTTGGACCGCACGGTAAGTTGGTAACCGCTTTTCACACCTAAAACTCGTACATAAACGACAATAGGTTTGGTACGACCGTACGAACATAAAATATAAACTGAATTGATTGACCAACTCATTCATTCTATATCACAATCAAAACAAAGTCCTTTTATTTCTTGTTTTGTTAAGATAAATAAAGTCCTTTTAGTTCGTCAAAGTTAATAGAATTCATCCTACGCTATTTGTTTTACGCGATATCTTGAATTCGTAGTATGGATATTTTTCTTTTTATCCGTTAACAACCGTACCGTCAATTATTTTCTTGATTAAAAAATGTCATCTCATTATTCTTTGATAAGACAAATTTTCTTTTTTAAAAGTGTGCATCCTTAGTTAACAGCTTGTGTTGCTGTTTTTTCTTCTGGTACATAAATAACGTTACCGTACGTTTACATATATAGTAGTGTGTAAAATAATCTTCTTCGTTTTGCAAAATAACCCTGGATTAACTCATTAATGATGTAAGATTTTTAGCAAATAAACCTTTTTTGGAATCATCAAGTGATTTTTTTTAGCACCTATGAAGTGATTTCTACCACGATGTTGATGTAATTGAGTATTTACATGGTTTTTCTAGGAAAAAATATTATGACAAGACCAAAATTTGAGAATAAAAAAAAATAGACAAAAAATCCATGGATTTGGTTAAGTTTAATTGTTTTCGTTCTCTCTATAAGACAAATTTAACATCTAAAACCCATCAGTTTTCTTTTACAACATTTTTGTTTGGAACGTTAAATTTTTTTTACAGTTGATTGGAGACTAATATGAAGGACGATCATAACGTAAATCTTAAGAAATCATAAAACCGGTCTTACAAATTTGATAGATCTGGTTGGACAAATTAATTTATCATAACGGCCCTTTAGATACTTAATAGGGTGCTTGTATACACTTTTTTGGGGGTCAAAATGTACACTGTTTAAACTTTCGAGCACACAGCAAAAATCAATTGACTTTTGCAAACTTTTTTCTCTTATGGAGTAATAAAAAGAGGATTCGTTGTTTTTTCTACTACAGCAACTGTACCTTTATATAGGACAATCCGACCATCCTAGTATCTAGGAAGACGGCTTAATAGACCAACACTTATCTACTCTATCTAACTCACATAAAGATTATCAAATCAAACTCGTCCATTCTGACCGAAAATGAAATAAAAATCAAACTCGTCCATCAAAAAGGCAAAATCCATCATCAAAGTTAATAAAACAGTTTAGTCCTCAAATTAGTTTTGAGTTTTTATTGAGAATACATGATTAATAAGGGTTCTTCATTAGGACTTTTCTTGAAAACACACGGAACTTTTGGAGACTTACATGGAAACGGTCCAAAACATCCAAAAAAATAGCCAGCCAATACGGTCCAAATATTTCAATATTCCTTAAAAACAGAAAGGATAAATCAAATAAAAACAAAGTCAAGTCAAACAAACGAGGGTCGAAATGGTAATAACATTCAAACTCCATGCTAATTCCAAATTACGTCACAGCCACCTTCGACGTTTTTTATATTTAAATACCAATCTTAGTTTCATTCTATCTTCTGTTCTTGTCCCATCAAAACTTGAGCCATCTCTCATTCTCTCTCGCCAATAGTTCACATGCATACACTTACGCCTAACGCCGACATATTCCAAGCTAAACGCCGTCGTTTCACTTGTAATCAAACTTCGACTTTGATTCCGACGAAGCCGCTCTCGGTTTCTCCGGCGAGAAAAACCAACAAAGAACATCTCAGAAACCTTGAGAACGTTCTTAAAACTTCTTCAAGTTCTATAGATCATCTCGAAAATGTAACTTCTCGTCAAGATAAGACGACGACGAATACATCGACGTCGTCACTTCTTGGAGGTTTGAATTTGGCGCGAATCTGGCCTCAGATGAAAGCAGCCGTGGACGAAATGTCTCCAAAGAATCTGAAACGGCTCCAAAGGCTTCTCTCGAAGTCATCGGAGGAACGTTCGCCGAAGAGTAAACTCGGGTCAAAATGGCGGGAGCTACACGGGTTAAACAACTGGGCCGGGTTGTTAGATCCATTAGACGAGAATCTCCGGCGAGAGCTTGTCCGTTACGGAGAGTTTGTACAAGCAGCTTATCACGCGTTTCACTCAGACCCGGAAGGTTCCCCGAGACACGTGGCCTTACCTGATGGGTCTTTTAAAGTAACGAAGAGTCTTTACGCCACATCATCCGTTCGTTTACCTAAATGGATCGATGACGTTGCACCGGATCTCCGGTGGATGACTAAACAGACGAGCTGGGTTGGTTACGTGGCGGTATGTGATGATCCGAGAGAGATCCGACGGATGGGAAGGAGGGAGATCGTCATCGCCCTCCGTGGAACCGCCACGTTGCTCGAATGGTCAGAGAATTTCAGGCCCAATCTCGTTTCAATGCCTGAGCCCAAACCTGATCAATCCGACCCGACTCGACCCAAAGTGGA